GCTAGGTGAAGTGGCCCTCTGTGGCATCACAAAGGAAGACTGTGTGTAACAGGGGGAGGGAGGTGGGGAAAGAACCAAGGTGCTATGGAGACGTTGTGAGGGAGGTCCTTTCAGAGCTGGAGCAGGGAGAAAGGAAAGGGGAAGAAAGAAAGAAAGAAAAAGAAGGGAAAGGAATGGAGAAGGGGGGGAGGGGAGAAAGAAAAAGGAGGGAAGAGAAAGGGAAGAAAGAAAGAGAAGGGAAAGAAAAGAATGGAGAAAGGAGGAATGGGGAATGGGGAAGAAAGAAAAAGGAGGGAAGAGAGCGGGAAAGATATGAGAGGAGGGGATCAAAGAAAGAAGGGAAGACAAAGGGAGGGAAGGAAGAGAAAAAAGTAAAGAAAATAGAGAAGGGAGGGATGGGGAAGAAAGAAAAAGAAGGAAAGAGAAAGGGGAAAAGGTATGAGAGAAGGGAAAGAAAGAAAAAGAAAGGAAGGACGGAAGAGAAAGAAAGAGAAAAAGAGAGGAAAAAATGGAGAAGGGAGGGATGGGGGAAGAAAGAAACAGGAGGGAAGGCAATGGGGAACAGGTATGAGGGGAGAGAAAGAAAGAAAAAGGAAGGAAGGAAGAGGAAGGAAGGGAAGAAAAAGAAAAAGAAGGGAAAGAAAAAACAGAAGGGAGGGATGGGGAAGAAAGAAAAAGCAAAGGGGAAAAATTATGAAGGGAGGAAAGGAAAGAAGGGATATATATATATATATATATATATATATATATATATATATATCCCTTCTTTCCATATATATATGCTCGTGTATACACATACACATATATGCAATAAAATAATATATAGAAATAATAATATTGTAATGTAATCATACTAACATATTACATATAATATTAATAATGTTGTAATGTAATATATATTATATATACTACAACATGATATAGTACAATATATTATATAATACTAATAGTATAATATGCTGGTAGTGTATTATATAGATTGTAGTATAATAATATAGTTTGTTTTTTTTGTCGTGTCAGGAGCGACCTAAGAAACTGCAAGTCGCTTCTGGTGTGAGAGAATTGGCCGTCTGAAAGGACGTTGCCCAGGGGACGCCCGGATGATTTGATTTTTTTTTAATCATCCTTGTGGGAGGCTTTTTTCATGGGAATACCATGGCTTTGACTAGGCGGATCTTTGTTGCCAGTCTGATGTCTCTACTCTTTACTATTTTATCGAGATTGGACATTGCTCTCCTCCCAAGAAGTAAGCGTCTTCTGATTTCCTGGCCACAGTCTGCATCTGCAGTAATCTTTGCGCCTAGAAATACAAAGTCTGTCACGGCCTCCACGTTTTCTCCCTCTATTTTCCAGTTGTCAATCATTCTTGTTGCCATAATCTTGGTTTTTTTTGATGTTTAGCTGCAACCCAGCTTTTGCGCTTTCTTCTTTCACCTTGATTAGAAGGCTCCTCAGCTCCTCCTCGCTTTCGGCCATCAGAGTGGTGTCATCTGCATATCTGAGGTTGTTAATGTTTCTTCCAGCAATTTTCACCCCAGCTTTGCATTCATCAAGCCCCGTACATCGCATGATGTGTTCTGCATACAAGTTAAAGAGGTTGGGTGAGAGTGTGCAGCCTTGCCTTACGCCTTTCCCAATCTTGGACCAGTCTGTTGTTCCGTGGTCAGTTCTTACTGTTGCTACGTGGTCCTTGTACAGATATATAGTCTATATCTAGCTATATAGCTATACAAAGCTTGAGCATCCCTCGAAGTTGGCCCTCCCCAAGTAAACGCTGGGGTCGCTATGGCAACCACAGCAGGGCCTAAGCCCCCTTCAGGGGCCTCCGCGCTAGCTTCCGGGCGCGAGGGCGAGAACCTCTGCGGCCCTCATTAACCATGCGCCTATGCAAATCTGCCCCCGCCCCGCGCCTCCGGATTGGCTGCGAGAGGCAGGAGCGGCGGGAGGTGAGGCAGGGAGGAGGAACAGCGGCGGCAGCGCATCCGCCATCTTCTCGCCCGTCATTGAGGGACGAGTTGAGGAGGAAGACGGCCAGCGCGGAGGAAGACGGCCGCCCTCGCTCTCCTTCCTCTTTCTCCTTCTTCCTCTTTCCCTCCATTCTCCTCCCTCGCCTCCCCCGGGAGGGGGGGTATACGTTGCGGCGCTGGGGGAGGATGAACGGAGGATAAATGGTGCCCAAAGCAGACAACGGCACTTTCCTCCTCCTCTTCCTCCTGGTGCTCAGCATCACCGAGCCTCTGCGGCCAGGTACGGGGCCCCGCAAGGGACATCCCTGTGGGCAGGAATAGCCTGGCTTTTGGGAGAACTTGAGGGAGACTGTTGAGGGGACTCAAGGGAAGGCCTTTCGGGGAGGAAAGGGGCTTTTCTCTGTGGGGCTGCCTTTCCCTATGGAAGCAGAAACCTCCCATGAAGGTTTTTTTTTTTTTTTGGGTGGGGGGTGTCCCTCAAAAGCAGAGAGGACTTAAAGTACTGTGCCCCAGTGAAGGGTATGAGTGAGATCGGGAAAGCCTATGCGATTTCCACCCCCCCCCCCAATATTTGAGGGTCTTTCTCCCCCAGTTGGTGATACCAGGGAAGCCCTTGGTATCCAGGGAAGCCCTAACTGTAGAGTCCTATTTCCCCATCCCCCCCCCCCCCAAATTATAGTGATATTGGGGCCCCTTCTACACTGGCATTTAAAATCCAGATCATCTGCTTTGAACTGGCTTATATGATAGTGTAGACCCATATAATCCAGTTCAAAGCAGATAATGTGGAATATTTGCTTTGATCATTTGGATTATATGGCAGTGTAGAAGGGGACTGGGAAGTTCTTGGTCATTTCCCTCCCAAACAATAGAGTATGACTTTCCTAATTGGGGATATTAGGGAGATCTAGGCCGCTTCTCTTCAAAACAGTGTGGCTCTGCTTCCCCATTTGATGATATGGGGAGGCCTTGCCCCCTTCTTCACAGCTGTATAATATCCACATTAAACTGGATTATGTGACAGTGTAGACTCAGATAATCCAGTTCAAAGCAGATCTTGTGGATGATCTGCCTTAATATTCTGGGTTATATAGCTGTGGGAAGAGCCCCTAGTTGATCCCCGCTCCATGCTATTGAGCACTGGTTCATTAATGGTGATCTTGGGGAGGCCCAGGTGGTTTCCCTCCCAGACTGTGGAGTGTTTGTGTTTGTTTTCCCAACTGATGATATTTTGAAAGCTCTAGGTAATTTTCCCTGCAAACAGTGGGGCAACAGGATCTTGTTTGCCCAATTGGTGAGACTGGGGAGCTCTAGGTGATTTCCCACCAAACTAAGGGGTCTTGGTTCCCCAACTGGTGAGCCATGGGTGATTTCCTTCTCAAACTATTGGGTATCGCTCATCTGAGTGGTGAAAATTTGGGAGCCCAAGATGATTCCCACCCCAGTTATGGTGTGCTGGTTCCTAGACTGGAAAGATTGAGTAGCCCAGTTTTATTCACCACCACCCCCAAACTATGGGGTGCTTGGAGCATGGGTTAAAGGGGGATCAGAGCTTCCTTTGTTACGGGGAAGTGGCTGAGGTGTGACCTTACTACTTGCTAGCTTCCCCCTCCAGTTCAGCCTGTGTGGGATTTTTTCGGGAGTAGTGTAGTGACTAACACACCAATTTGATGCGTTGCTTGGTATTTGTGGGTTTGGGGATGGTTGTGTGTCCCTTTCCCAGCTGTGGAGGGATCTGGATTTGCCCCTGATCTGAGGGGGCCTAAGTATTTTCTCTTGGAGTTGTGACATATTGTAAAAGATGTCTTAAATTATGAGGGAATTGGAGGTTAGTTTTTGTGTTGCAGGAACCATGAGGTGAATCAGTTGGGTGAGTGGGTTGCTTTGAGTCATCTTTAGAAGAGGGAAGTGGAATATCATCACCCCCACCACCACCACCATCATCATCATCATCATCATTCCTTGCCCATGTTGACCCAGAGGGTGCAGAGGTGACACAGTGTGTGTGCTTGGACTAAGAGTATGCGTGGAAGGATTGCAATGATAACATGGGATCATAATGTAAGGCTTTACCGAAGAAAGAGTCTGTTCCCTGCTTCCTTATAACTGATAATACTTGGAAGTTCCTCCCCCCCAGTCCCAGGAACTGTGGTGTATTTAAAATGTGAGGCAGGATGAGGGGTCATCTGTAGGATCAAGGGAATAACTTGTAGCCCCGGTTGGGCCGCAACTATTGTAATCCCTCACGGTTGGCTATGCTGATGGGGGATGATCTGAGTTGCAGTCATCTGAAGAGCCACCAGTAGCCTAATTTTGCTGTGGGTGAACTGGAGCTTGATTGTTATCCTGAAGCATCTCCAAACAAGGCCAGGAGAGAAGGATAGGTGGGTTTGAAGTTTACAAAGGGAGAGGAGGAACTAAAATAATATCCATGTGATTGAAGGAGAAATGACATCTGTGGAGCTTCAGTGGTTTGGGATTGACTGAAGAAGCAGAGCCTCAAAAAGAGGAACATATTTCTTTGTGCTATATATGATTTCTGAGATGTCGGGGTAGCTGTATTATTAGCTGGTAGAATGCATCCAATGAAAAAGGGCTAATGTGCATGGAAGCTTATGCCTCGTAAAATGTGCTAGTCTTTAAGGAGCCACAAGACTGTTGTTTTAGATGTAATGATATGCATGGGAGCATTGGGGAGTGAGTCATGTTTGGGAGGCAAATAAGCAAGGGGAGAGAAGAGTCTTTCAAATAAGACGTAATAGTTTTTATTAACATAATACACTTAGATTACTTGCACTGCTGTTTTCTTTCTAGCCTTATAGGACTGTCTTGAATGTGAATCTCTGAACAGGTATATTTCCAATGCAGTGTTTGGTAAAGGATGTGTACCTATTTTCTGTACTTATTGTGTTGGGATGAGAGGGAAACATGGTGAGGCAAGTCCTGTGTTCCTTGTTTAGGTGACAAGCAAAAATAAACTAATTTTATAGATAGGAGGAGAAAGATCTACATTGCCAACCTGTCACTGTCTGCAGAACCTGCTCCGGTGAAGGTGCAGTGGGAAGAATGCTGCTTTTTGGTGGTGCAGTGGAGTCTTAATTGACTTACAGACCTGGTTCTGTCTTATTTTGGGGGCATGCGGGTTGGCACTCTAGAGAGAGCTAGATTTCTGCCTGAAATTCTCCCCCAAATTTGCAGCTAACTGTGAAGAACATTGCAGTACATAGATGAGTGCAATGGGTTTTCAACTCATTCCTTTGACTAAGCTGTGTTTCTTTGAAAGAGGGTTGTATTGGTAAATGAATGCCCTGCAAACACGGTGTAGCATTTCCAAAGTATTGCCACTGCATTACATAAATGTCTAAGTTTGTGTTACTGGTATGATCATGAAGTGGGATAAGTGTCAGGTTGCAATCATTTCAGGACCTGAGGAAAATTGAAAAAGCATCATCATCTACTTCTAGAGAATGCATTGGCCATGTTATATAACCTTGCTGCATGCAGAATTGAACAGGCTTTTACTGCCTCTGCTCTTGTAAATGAGAATACTGGAAAGAACTTGAATATGGTGATCTCACAGCAAAGCCTAGTTGTGGCTTGTTCTCTTAACTAATGATGCAACACTGTTATGAAGGATAATGTTTAAAATTGAATCATAACACTTCGCCCTTTAGAAGGAGCCCCCGATGGCACAATGGGTTAAACCGTTGTGCTGGCAGGACTGAAGACTGACAGGTCGGAGGTTTGAATCCAGGGAGAGTGTGGATGAGCTCCCTCTGTCAGCTCCAGCTCTCCATGCGTGGGCATGAGAGAAGCCTCCCACAAGGATGGTAAAACATTAAAAACATCCGGGCACCCACTGGGCAACGTCCTTGCAGGTGACCAATTCTCTCACACCAGAAGCAACTTGTAGTTTCTCAAGTCGCTCCTGACACACACACACACACGCAAAACACCTTTAAAACATGCTTTAATCTTCAGGCAATTTGCTCTGAAAGAGGCCTGGATATTCCTGTGATATTATTGAGTTCTCCGCAGGTTATTCTTTGCCCTCTTTTTTGGTAATACTTTTAAGACTTGGTCAGAAAATATATCGAGTCGATAGCAGGAAGCTGTAACATTTGGAACAACCAAAGCAACAAGGGAATAAGATGGATTCAATTGTCTATTTTTTATTCATGCATCTGGGGTTCTGGCTTTATATGGGAAGGGAAACTTTGTACCAACAAATAGTGGACATATGAGGGAGGCTTGTGTTCTGAGCAGGGGATTTCCATGAAGTTGGTACTGTACCATTTGTGTTACTAAATAGCCCAGCTGAATTTTAAATTGCTCTTTGAGCAATGCCAGCGATGAAGACCTAAAGCAGCATCATGCAGCTTGTAATGGCATCCATAGTCATAAAGTCCTTGCTAGAACTTATGTATATTTTTATCTATTTTTACTGTGTTACAATAATTGGTTAACTTGCGGAATTGCATAGAATATGTTGTCTTGAATGAATGACATCTCTTGTCCTGTCTTGGTAGCAATAGCTAAGCTATTGTGGAAATTGTGGTCTGCAAACTTTGTGTCCTTGCTTTACTCCCCAAAAGCACCTGTATACCGTCTACATGTTTTAAGCAGAGCAAAGTTATCTTGCTGTTCCTGCCTGTGATCAGAAATAGCAGATTTACTTACCCCCTCCAAGTCTCCCAAGTGACACAAGAAACCTGGTACAACCAGAACCACATTTCAGTTATCTCTTTCCAAATGTTTCTATGCCAGTTTTCATTTTTAAAAGGCAAAGTGGTCCACAATAATGGCACTTATTCCAGTTTCATAATCATGCCAGTAACACAAACTTATACATTGATGTAATGCAGTGTATACCTGTGAATAGGAGTCCCACCAAGCAACTAGTTTTAGCAGATTGGCTTAAAGTCCCTTTCTGCATATTGTTCTTTTTTTTTATAATAATCTTTATTCACATTTTCCATATACATATGATTAAAAGAGAGCGATAATTAAAAAAAAAGAATAGAGCAGTCTAGAGAGTCAGAAAGGGTGGGGGGGGGGAATAAAAGAGGAGAGCGGATAGGGAAAGAAAGTGGTTGGGTGATAGACTTAGGGAAGTACGGGGTGGGTAGAAGTGAGGGTATAGAAAGTCAGAAAAGGAAAGTGTAGAGAGTGCATTAAAAGTAGTAGAGACAAAAATCGAGGTTTCCCCCTTCCTTCGGCCTGTCTTCCGGGTGTCCTTTGCGAAGATTTTCCTTTTCTTTCCTTCTTATTTTATTGTTT